CATGAATAAATCATTTACAAAGCTTTCTGCATCCCCTAATCTAAAGTGTAAACTACTCATCAGTTGTAAATGTTTTACTCATCATTCATAGATCTTTCACCCCAGTGTGTACACACACACAACCTGTAACCGGCAGGTTTGTAAAACATTTACAAACTGATGAGTAGTTTACACTTTAGATTAGGGGATGCAGAAAGCTTTGTAAATGATTTATTCATGCGTTTACACAACAGGTTTTGAATACTTTGTAGTGTGTACTGCAATGTAAGGGCTGACTGGTGAGGGTGTAGACAGATGTCTTCTCGGACACACATGGGGTATTTCAACGCTGTGAACTTGAGTGGAGGGTCAAACCGGTTCACGTTATCACTAGATCCCACACACTCCACACAGAACACAAGTCTGTGCTGATGAGAGAAAGGCTTTAACACAACCCACTGGAATCCCCTGACTGCAAGTCATTTACACATGTTTATTCACTTGACAGCAAATAATTTATTATTCTTTAAAAAAAAAATAGTTTTAGCATAATTGCATTTTTGGGCTTTTTAACAGACTAGCTTACAACTTTAACGAAACATATATCAATTATATACTAATGGTTTAATCATCATTTGTTCATGATTAACAAATGTTTATTGTTTCTTAGAATATCTTCTTTGTTTTCAGCAAAAGAATCATACTGTCAATGTCTGGTTGGTGTGCCCATGATAGGCCACCAGAGGGCACACTTCTTAATTGTTGTTTGTTTCTCTGGACTTCAGTTCCCATCACCATTTGCTTTGACAATCAAGTCTCATTTCATTCAGCTGTGTCTCATTTACCTTGTTAACTTATCCTCATATAAGCCCGGTTTTCTGTGTCTTTGGTTGCTGGTTTATTATTTTATGTTATGTGTTTTCTGATGCTCTGTTTTTATCTGATTTGAATTATTCTCTGTTTTTGGATTTTTTACAATAAATGCTGCATTTGGATCTGCTTGTTTTGGAGCATTCCGTGACATATTCATTTAATTTACAAATTTTTTTTAAGTGGTTGCAATAAATTTATTTTAGCTACATTTAAATAAACAAATTTAGTTGACTAACTTTCAACATTTTTTTTATTTAAATGTAGCTAAAATAAATCGTTTGCAACCACTTACCTTAAAAAAAAAATTAGCATCATTTTTTTCAGTGTATTAACCATTTACTAAGGATCTGTTTAATTATTTCATGATGCTATTTTTTATAAGATAACTTACGGCAGATTTGAATATCGTTAGCATATTACTTAATAATCATTTGTGAACGCATAGTCATGCATTGTCATTTATAACTTAATCTACAAAACATAGATAAAAATATTAACATATCACTTATTAATCATTTATGAACGCATAGTCATGTTTTGTAAATGATTAGTTCATCATGAACTAATTACTTGTAAATGAATTAACAAAAAATACACAAATTGTTTGCATATCACTTATTAATCGCTTATGAATGTTTTGTAAATGATTAGTTCATCATTAACTAATCACTTATAAATGACTTACAACTGAACGTTATTATAAAGTGTTACCTTAATTTTTAGTGAACTACTCCTCTAATAAAACAATGAAGAATGGCCAAGGAGAATTTGTCTTGAGTGAAATGACTTCCTCATGACAGCCAATCCAGGTTTTAGATTCTGACAGTTCAAGAACAAGCGAGCTAAAGAGCGATGTGAGTCAGTCTTCAGGTCATGGGTCGCATCTCTCTGGGATCACTCCTGCAACTTTGAGATTTCCAGCACACATTTTTAATGGATTCCATCACCAAAAAGCATAAATATTTAGCAAATTAATCAACAATAGCACCATTCACTATCTTGCAATGTTTTTGTCCTCTGGCTAGTGCCTGACTTTGCAAGCTCAAACATACTAAATACATCATTAGTGCTGTCAGAGTGGGCGTTAATGAACAAAGACAGAAACACTTTGACAAATAGGTCAATTGCAAAGGAGAAGCAACACCATCAAATATGCCATTAAAATGACTCAATTCATTATGGACAAAAACTTGTTATATTTCTTGGTGTTGGCAAGGCAACAACAACCAAGTGACACTATTTTCTCCTTTCTGTTTTGCAGCAGTGAGAACAAATTGAAAAATGGTCCTTGGACTTGCACTGAGAAACAGTCTGGTGGCTAACAGGAGCAAAGTGAACAGACTACACAAAAGGGCTGGTGCAGGAGAGAGGGAGAAAACAAAACAGATCAGCTCATAAAATGCTCAGCAGCCCATTTTGTTTTTCAGATAAAATAGTTGAAAAGGTTGCCTACAGTCCCAACCCACCTAACTTTGAATAAATTGCCACTTACTAGCAGTTCGTCATAATTTCAGGCCATATGGGCTCCGTTTTGTTTGATGCATCCTATAGGTTTATTGTAGCGGTTCTGTGACTTAGTTATGCGGTCTGAGCATTTGTATGCAAGCTTATTTGTCCAGGCTAGCTTTGGGCTAAAGAAGCTCACACGTGTGCTTCCTTATTTCTAATCTTTTTTTCCTCATCACTCCATCACTTGAGATTCCACAGGGGCATTTATTTATTTTTCCACTTCAGTTCTGCGAAGCTGATGATTCATATATAACAATCTCAATACCTCAGAACTGAGAGGCTGTTTGTTTTTAGCAATAGAGTAACACGTCCTCACTGGATTTGTCAGTGGCAGACATTGCAAATTCATTCTTAAAATGATCCAAAGGCCAAAATATCTGCGTAAAAGACCATTATTAATATTATAAAGGTGCTTTTATATATTACAAATGAGATGTACAAGCTTTGCATTACCCCAATATATATATATATATATATAGGCTTTCTGTATCAAAATCTTCTAAAGCTAATCCTTAAATAAACAGTTCACCCAAAAATGAAAATGCTATGATCATTTACTCTATTCTACTCTATTTAAAAAAAATACAAATAGTGTCTCATTTACCTTGTTAACTTATCCTCATATAAGCCCGGTTTTCTGTGTCTTTGGTTGCTGGTTTATTATTTTATGTTATGTGTTTTCTGATGCTCTGTTTTTATCTGATTTGAATTATTCTCTGTTTTTGGATTTTTTACAATAAATGCTGCATTTGGATCTGCTTGTTTTGGAGCATTCCGTGACAGAATAAACCAGCCATTTACAGATCCAGCAGCTAGACTGAGCTATCGACTTGTGGACCATGGGCATTTTAATTCTTCCTCCTGTTTTGAAGGAGTGGAAAGCTCGGCTTAGGATCTTCAGCAACAGGGAATGCAAGTGGGTGGACTGGTACAGACTTTTTGGACATTGGCAGTAGGATTAGAACTTTGTAACTCTGAGTTTACCAAGATTTTTAATGATTGCCTAGACAATCCCTTACCTCCTTGGGAGATGGAGGGGCTTAAAACTCTCGACTTTTGGAGTTTCATTGATTATCTCTGTTACCGCAATTTAGTAGCATCATGTCGATCTGAGCCGATTGCAGTGCCCCTGGAGATACCCGAGTCTGCTCCAGCTGATAGTGAATCTTCAGTCTCTGTCTCGCAAGCGAAGGTCAAGGAGGAAGAGGGCAGCAAGGACTATCCAGGTGGTTCGGAGTCTGGTGGTTCTGGAGAACTCGACTCCGGTAGTATCGAGTCTGGTGGTCCTGGAGGATCTGACTCCGGTGGTCCCGAGTCTGGTGGTATCGAGTTTGGTGGTCCTGGAGGACCCGACTCTGGTGGTCTCAGAGCTCACCACAGAACCGCCCAATTTCACTGCTGCTGCCATTATCAAGAAGGCCGTCTTTGCCTTTGGCCTCTGGACTGTCCTGCGTGCTTGGAAGCATTCAGAGTCCACTCCATAGCCCGCTCCAGTCCAGGAGTTCTCAGAGTCCACTCATGAACTCGCTCCAGTCCGGGAACCCTCAGGGTCCACTCGTGAACCTGCTCCAGTCCAGGAGCTCTCAGAGTCCACTCCCGAGTTCACTCCGGAACCCACTCAAGTCTAAGAGAGAACTCCAGAGGTTACTCAAGTTTATGAGCTCACTCCTGAGCTCATTTCAGTCCAGGAGTCCAGTACTGAGTCTGCTCTAGTTCCTCCCGAGGTGGAGGTTTCTGTTGTGGAGCCTCTCGAGGTGACGGCGTCTGCTTCAGCTGCCCTCTGGGCGGTGGTAGTCACTCCTGAG